GGTGCTACCGCTAGCCACCCCCTACCCCTCCTTAAGGGTGAAACGGGGGGTAACTTTGGAAAGTCAAATGGAATGACCCGATTTTTTTCACAGAGTTTGGTAGTACATAAAAAATGAATAACTTTTATTTCAAAGTTTTTTTCAATTTATCAACAGATGGCGCTATAATTCAAAATTTAAGAAAAAGGGGTTTCCTTGTAAAATGTATTATTTGAAACGTTTGAAAAACAAAAATTAACATTAAATCGGTTAAGTCGGCTCTGAAAACAATTTATAACAAATGTTCGAAATGTCGTCCTTCCATTTCAACACATTTTTGAATGGGGGGGTGGCTAGCGGTAGCACCAAATAATGTCCCCTTTGGTCACATTAACCTTTTATTTAAGACATTTTTCCGTGAAATACGTATTTCTCAAGTTAAAAGAAACACCCTGTATATCTCCATTATTCGAGCTAAACTGGTAAAACCCCTTAAAGGATTTGTTTTGGGGGTTGCATAGATTCGATTTTTTCAGATTTGATCCCAGTTCATTTTTTGTGTTGCACAGTGTAATTCATATGCCACTTCCACAGCTATATTTCTTATTGTCATGTTAATTAAATACATATCATACAGCCCTTGTCTTTAACTAATGCATATCTTCTAACGTGACAATAACAAAAATGTTTTGCAATATTAAACAATAATCTAGACTGTGTTCAATCAAAATAATCAATCTGTCATTCTGGTCTAGAATATCCGGCAACACTGGATTATAAACACGTAATAATCAAGGGATATTTCTTTTGATTTATTTGGTGACTACCATAATTTTGTTACTGAATTATTAAAAAAGCACAATTGTATTAAATTATTCATTATAATTTATAAATTTGTTTATCTACTCCTACATTGACGAGCTGTAACTTTATGGTGTTTTATTGACAGCCTGAAGTTAACAACAGTGGCTTTTCGACATTTTACGTCACGGGCTGAAGTTAGCTTTATTATAAATTGGGAAAAAGTGAGGTTAAATTCGGGTGACAGTTGACAGATGTCAAAATTTTAACAAATAAAATTGGCTTTAAATTATGTTTTGTGTTCGTCGTAGATAAAGTATAGTATGCAACTCGTTTATAAACTTCTCTAGACACTCGTTTTTATTAAACACTCGCTCGCAAGCTTCGCTCGTGCTTAATTAAACTCGTAACTAAAATGGCGTTTATAAAACTTGATACATAATATACTATTATCTACTCCTACATTGACGAGCTGTAATTTTATGGCGTTTTATTGACGGGCTGAAGTTAACAACAGTGGCTTTTCGACATTTTACGTTACGGGCTGAAGTTAGCTTTATTATAAATTGGGAAAAAGTGAGGTTAAATTCGGGTGACAGTTAACAGACGTCAAAATTTTAACAAATAAAATTGGCTTTAAATTCTGTTTTGTAGTCGTCGTAGATAAAGTATAGTATGCAACTCGTTTATAAACTTCTCTAGACACTCGTTTTTATTAAACACTCGCTCGCAAGCTTCGCTCGTGCTTAATTAAACTCGTAACTAAAATGGCGTTTATCACCTTGATACATAATATACTATTAAAATAATGGTTTTCTTCCCTTTAGGCTTTTCTGCAACATGTTGCTTTATTTTTTGTTACCTTACTCTTTTTTTAATATTTTTTTCTTTGCAGTGGACTTTATTTTAAATATTAAATAACACTGCATATAGAACTGTCACTTCCACTGTCAAAAGGGAAAAGCGTTACCATAGAAACCAACTATGAAAAACTCGCTTATAAATCGTTTTTGGTTCAGATAATTTAAAAAATTGGCTGTTTTTAATTCCAATGTAATAAAATGACAAGATTAATTTTGTTTCTGCAAGTTGGTACCTATCGCTATTTATGCATTAAGTATAAAAGCAACTCCCCTTACTCCTTTCCCTGTAATGTACTGCTCGTCTTTTCTACATAAAAGAAACCCTATTTATATAAAATATTTCGTTTAAAATCATAACACCATCATTTAATAACACCCTGTATAAATATATTTTTATATTAATTTTGATTTGGATAGTAGTCAATGACAATGAGGCTTAATGCAAAATGATGGTATAAAAGCTAGTTCTAGCATCGCCATTATATCCTTCCTTGTAGGAAGGATATAATGGCGATGCTAGAAAAAATGGAAAGAATCAGTAGGAAGTTCCTACTGATTCTTTCCATTTTTGTTTATCCTTTGCCACTTTGCTTCTGGGCATGTTAAACTTCGTTTTTGAAGTTCTTGATTAATTGTTCTTCTCCATGTGTTATTCGTCTTTTCCTGGTTTTCTGGTTGTTAAGTCTGGTTTTGTTCACTTGATATCTGACCAACCAGTGTCCTGTTAAGTGGCATGCGATGGATCTAAGTTGTTTCCTGTTTAGTTCCAGGACCTTGTTGTTCAAGCCATTCGTCGTAGAAATGGTTTTTAGTTCCGGTCGTGATCTTGCCATGTGTTAATAAAGGTTTGATTTTTTACTGTGTAAGAATGTTTCTGCACCATACATTAGAATGCTTTTTTATTCGAGTTTTTCTAGAGAGGTTCGAATCTATTCTAACGTTTTAAAGACTTTCCACAACCCAGGCAACACAGTGACGTAAATATCACGTTTAATTTACGTCTACGGTGACGTCGAAGTCACCAACTTAGACACGTCTTATCGTCGTAAAATTGACGACAATATGTCACAGCGATTTCACGTGTAAAATCACGTAATATTACGTAATTATTTACGTAATTTGACGTAAATAATCACGTAATATTTCTTGAATAATATATGATTAGGTCATACACTGATAAAAATAATTACCGATACTGATATCAGATATTTCAATGCGAAATGTGATTTTGTCAAAATTAAAAAAACATAAATTTTTAATTTTACTTTTAAATTTTAAGAAATAAATAGGTAAACCCTACTATATATAGTATATATATACTACTATGGTAGATATATATTTAGTAAATAATTAATAATCAAAATAAATGTATGTAAAAAAGTAGAATATCAAAAAACAATTTGTTAGTTAATCTTTGTAGAAACACATACATATGTCTGGCATTAAAATATCGGATATAAGAATAAATAATTATTTTTACTAGTGCATAAAGGGCTTTTGGTTTAATAATTAATAAAACATGTTTTAAGTTGCTCAAAACATTTATTATAAAATCAAACAAATTAAATTTTAAGACAGATGACAGGTCAATATTTTAGGAGCTATGTAGGTTCTTCATTTAGGTGTTATGACTTCGTTACGGAATATACTGAGTAATTAAGACATTAATAAACAAACAAAAATTGACCTACCTGACACAGCCAAAGTATTATCAGTATAAATGGTTTGTTCTATGTATAAATGCCACAGATTATAAAAGTTGGACGCTTGAATCAACCATATTATTTTTTAGGAATAAACGTTCCCTCGCTTTGTAAGTAGTGTCAAAGAGAAACAGGGTTGCCAGGTGTAAAAATTAATATTATCGAAGAGGGTTCACAAAATGATCAAATTTACAGAAAATTATACAAAATTATCAAAACAAAAATTGTATAAAAACAAGCAAAACTACGCGGCGGATTAAATTATGTTACAATTATCGATTATTATTTAAATTTTACTATTTTAAAAAAGAAAATTATAAAACATCTGGCAACACTGTAGATAAATAATTTTACTAAAATTTAAATTGTGATTGTCAACTGCAGTAACATGTTAATTTCTTATTTTGTGATGAAATGATAAAGGATTTAAAAATCGCGAATTTGTTTTAAAAAATCCATTGATCAATAATTATTAATCTATCTTAATTAGTTTAAAACCACGTTGATTCTCCGTCGAAATAACGTAAATTAAATAAAAATAATAATTTTTGTTTTTAAAAATATTCGAAAACTTTTTGTCGGCCCATTAAAACGGGCCAACTGTTTCTTATTAATTATCACTATAGTATTTTCATATTTTCTTAAAAATTTCGTCATCTGTTCACGTGATAATGACGTCATTTATTGGTTATCATCGACCTGTTAATAATTGGTCGTGTTTTGGTGAATTTTGAAACGTCGAAAAATGGTTGAAATGTAACTTCGACCAAATTCGACCCAATTCGTCGACGATTCTACGTGATTTCTAAGACCCTGTGTTGCCTGGGAAGGTTCAGGTTCTCTGGTCTTGTGTTCGTTCCATAACCAAATCCATAATTGTTATGAAGAGTAAGGATGACATCCTACAGACTTGTCGCACTCCCTTTTCTAGTCTTATTCCTTCAGAAAGATTTCCTTTCTTTTCTATCTTTGCTATATAGTTTTCATCAAGCATTTTTAATACATTCAAAACTTTTTCGGGTACGATATTGAACCTATGCAGTGTGCTGTTCAAGGATTTTTTTACTGGTTTGATATTTATTTTTTGTTTCCAGTACTAGGGTACATTTTCATCAAGCATTTTTAATACATTCAAAACTTTTTCGGGTACGATATTGAACCTATGCAGTGTGCTGTTCAAGGATTTTTTTACTGGTTTGATATTTATTTTTTGTTTCCACTACTAGGGTACATTTTCAATCCTTAAGACAGTTATATCTAGCTTAAATTAACAATATAAAAACTTTTATTTATTTTAAACTTGTATAATAAAAATATCGGCAAAACAAATAAAAATTAATAAAATGTTAAACTAAATTTAACAAAAACAAGTAATATTTATCAACTTCATAAAGACACGTTTCTGATAACATATTTCACGTTTCATTTAATCTAAAACATGCGAAATTTTTGAATGTAAGAAATATTTAAATAATTTATATTTGTTTTGATAATTTAGTGGTATTAACCTTGATTAAACATTGTCTTTCTAAAAAGGTATATAATATAAAACTTATTTCTAAAACCTTCAGTTTGATAACAATATCAATTAAAGGTACTTACTTAATTAAACTTTGTTAACTGCGACTTGGCTAAACTGTTTTTTTTATTACAGATTACAAATAAATTCTTTTGGAAGGAAACTCAAAAATAATCCCACAAAATGTCCAAGGACGCTACCTCGATGATATGGGACTATCTAGTGTTTATAATATTCGTGATAGCCAGCTCTTTCGTGGCCGTATACTCGAGATTTTTTGGGCCGAAGGAAAAAACAAAAGCCGACTATGTTTTTGCGGCCGGTAAAGTCTCCATGGCGGCCATGATGTTAAGTATAGCCAGGGGGACACTGGGCGTAAGATCTTTTTTGGGTAAGAAAATGTTTTTTTCAATACCAATCTTACAGTACCTAAAGTGCATTCAAATCCAAGCTGGACTAAACAAAAACGCCCAGACGCATGATAACTCGTTCTTATTGGTCGATTCTGATGGTGTGACTCGGATTGTGATTTCTTATTGGTCGATTCGGAGGATTGTGTTTGGATTTAGTCCAGCTTGGATTTGAATAGACTTTAGTATGCTATATTATTTTTTAATGAATATTTCTAACAGTGTATAAATTTAATAATTTTAAAAATGTTTAAAAAGGATGCAATTTTCAATGGGCAAAATTAATTTTAAAAACATTCTACATGAACCAGGATTTTTCATTTTTGCATGCAAATTTTAAAGTCTAATTTCATTTGATCACAGGTATCTAAGCCAATGCTCTTTTCGAATTAATTATCCTAAAACAACGGCGTTTCCTCATAGAGTTTCCAGTGTCTCGAAAGAATGAAGTGTTTGTTTTCAATTAAGTTTTTTGTTTTGCATGGATTATTTTCCATTAAACGCTAGCCCCAAACAAACAAATTTTAATGAACTACTTATAAATATTGTATTAATCCATTAATACAAATACATTGTTACAAACAAATTTTAATGAACACCTTATAAATATTGTATTAAGTAATCCATTAATACTACACTATTATATGATTTCAATATTTTAATACGAAGGAACCTACGGATGCGCAAACAGTGGCGGCCCGTCAGTGCCTCATCATAGAGAATTAAAAAATTAAGTATTATTTAAATATTTTACTTTCTATAATATACTATAAATTTTTAATATTTGATTTACATGAATTGTGAAATGGTCAATAAAATTGATTGATTTTATACGTGGGATTAAACTAATATTTATAGCTAGATGATTGGCTCAGAGGCATGCCTGAACTAATTTAGACTCACGATTGGCGTTAGCCTTGTTGTCTCGTTCTATTACAATGCGATAGTTGTCTCCTTCTCTCGTATTAGCATACGCGAGGCAGACACGCCTACATCCAAGGAAATAAGCAGGTGTTGTGGCAAAACTGATGCGGAATTTTAGATAAATTATACTTCACACGTTTTTCAAAATTCAATAATAAATGGTATTATTTTTCTTACAGTAAATCGATTTAATCGAAACTATATTTCTATTCTAAAATAAACATATTTTTACACTATCGCCATCTTGTAGCCATCACAGTAACCAATATAATAAATACAGATTCCTTCTTTAAGTTTGTTTTGGTTATAAAATTCTGAACTGTTTAAAGAACAAATCTGTGGTTATTTACGCAATATTTTGTTTATTCTTTTTTTATGAGTTTGTCTATTTTATGATTCTTTTGTAAGTGGTTTATTCTGTGGGTTTAGTTAATTTAACTTGGTGATTTATGTGAATTTAGTCATTATGGATATTACGGTGAGAAATTGTACCGATATTGTTGACCTTCACGTGGTTCTTGCTCAACAATGAAATATTAATTAGACAAAAATGAGGTTTATTTAAAATAAACGTCATTTTTACAATAAAATATATTTCATTGACAAAGTAGAGGATTCCTTCCCCACCACAGTCTAAGTTTTTTACTTAGTTTTAAGTATAGGTTGTGAACTACGACGTCAGTTTTTTAAGTTAATTAAAAAAATTTCTTCGCCTTTAAATGAGGGCCAAATCCTGCCTCTGCCTCACCAAAATGAAATGTCACGGGCCGCCACTGTGCGCAAAATGATTGTGCGCATACTATATCTGTGAGTGTATGTATTGTAAAATACACAGCCAGCATTGAATGACATATATGCTCGGTGAGCACTCTGCGTAGTGTTTGACGTAACATGTGGTCGAGTTGCTCCTCCCTTATATAGTCTCCTTGGATTTACTAAAAAAATAAATAGCAGCAAATTTTAAGAAGTAAATCTCCATCACTAGACAAAATTTGTTAATCCCAAAGATTGCAGTTTGTACATATTTCTTTCAGTGTAATATTTTTAATTTTTAGTAATCATAATTAGGCAAATCTAGTTTGTAATAAAATAAGGAAAGCCTCTGTAAGGATGTATTAACGCATATACTTTATATGCTATTTATAATCGTAAAAAACAAAATTATGGTTGGCTATAAATAGCCGCTGGAAAGTATATATATAGAGGAAATGGAGTTGTTTATTTTGATAAATAATTAAGATACCGACTTGTTTTTCACACTAAAATATGCCATATGAAAGTTTAGTCTTATAATAGGTATATATTTATAATTTAATGTTGAAAAACATTTACTGAACATTTTTATGAGTAATTTAATATCATGGTAAATGATATCACTGGTAGCAGGTTTTACGAATTAACTATTATCAAAATAGCAAACATTATCTATAAATAAATAGTCATTAACTAGATGTTTGGTATTGTTTATATTTTCAGCTTTTTGCAAAGTAAACGTTTTATTTGTCTACATATAATTTATTTACAATAAATATTGATTGGTATAAATTCCATACTTCATACAAAAAACCCATCAATTTTGACTATGTGCAAAATTCTAATATTTTTAATATACAGTTTTGTCTTAAGAATGTCAACTTAAACTTAATATAAAATATTGTAACGTTTTTACTGTTCGTAGTGTGAATTAAAACACGCACTGGTTTATTAACGAACTAAACGATTTATTTTTATAACTTGATTACACTTAACACACTAAGAAACTATAAAACACTTAACTACTAATTATTTATATATCACTACTGTATTTGCACGTATATTTATTTTATTTCGTCGCGAGTACCAAAGCTTGACTAACTGCTCCATGCTGCGCTGTTTCTTATATATTTAGTATTTAATGTTCTATATTCCTATTTTTTAGGGTACCCCTCTGAGCTCTTCTACAGGGGCAGCACCATGTGGGAAACCCTCTACGGAATGGTGCTAGCATACCCTATAGTGTGCTATGTGTTCGTGCCAGTCTACTTCAGCTTGGGCATCACATCAGTGTACCAATACCTGGACTTACGGTTTAAGTCCAGATTAGTTAGATGCCTGGCATCCGGTACCTACGTTATAAGACAGCTTTTGAATCAAGGCGTTACTGTTTTTACGCCATGCGTTGCCTTAAACACTGTGATTGGGATCCCGTACTGGGCTTCAATTTTTGGAATTACGTTGGTCAGCATTATTTTTACTGTTTTGGTGAGTAAAGTTTTTACAACTAATACCTGCAAGACAGAGTTCACTAAATCAATAGGACATTCATAACTTTTATACATACATACACGTTTCGTATAAATTAATCAATTAGGTTTCACTTACAACGCATGTAAAGGAACAGAACTATAAATACAGGTTAAGTTTCCCTTCTAACTATCAAAGTTCGCAAAAGCCCGTGTGTCCAAGACACAGGAAACGACCCACTTAAGTCTTCTGCGCTCCTCCCTTAGTTCAAAACTTAAAGTGGCTTCTAAAATTTGCATAAATTTCCTGTTTTATTTGTTTGCCAGGTACACCCCTTCCATAAACCATATACAGCTTATCCATAAACTCCCTCTCCTAATTATTTTGTCAAAGGTCCTCTTTATGTCAAGTCACATTTCAAATGAAAGACATTTCAGTAGAACACCAATATTAAAAAGATTACAGCTGTTAATAGAATAAGAGTTTTAGAGCCAATTCCTGACAATTAAACCTCCCTTTATTCGGAGTTTTTCATTTTGGACAGGGGATCGTAATTATGCCTTTGTTGTCCTTAATAGCATTTATGGAACAAGATGAAAAGATAAACGCCTTAAATAAAGGACTCATGAACAGGTGTTTAGCGCACGGCGGATCGCTATGTTGACAAAAAAATATCGTCTAATACTCCCATACACCTTGCAGAACCCTTATATGGGTATATATAGATATCTTTTTTTTTAATTCCCAGGAATAACAAAGTTATATCGATTTTTGGTTTTGAAAGGTTTTTAGTTTTTTGTTGAAATATTTTCAGAACCGCTGGCGTTTATATATTAATAGGCTTGTAAAAAAATTTACCATAAATAGAAAGATACTTATACCGGGCCCACCCAAGGAAAAAATCCTCATAATCTTTTTTGTGTTTTTTTTTAATTCTCACTCTTAGAATACTATTCTCCGGATAAAAAAATGCTCTTATTACAAAGTCATGGAGGCAACAGTTTTCGATAAAAACGCTATTAAAAATGTATCGCCACAAAGAAATATTAGTAGGCAATGGAAAAACATCAAGTTAGCCTGCTTCGCAAATATCGTTATTTTGTCAGTGGTGACATTTGTCATAACATAAAAAAACAAACTAACAGAAATGGTAAATTAAACTTTCGAAGAAATGGTCAACATTCATTTCATGTGTACAGTATACGGTGTTGTTGGCTGAAGATACAGGTCGCTGATGAAAGAGTATTGAAATATAAATGACTTCCTTTCTTGACGGGACAACATAAGACTCCCAGCACAAAAATGCGCTGGTCAGTACCATTTATACAAAATCTACAATAGATTAATTGATTCCTGAATAATTTCCACGATGGATGGTTAAAATAATTAAAGATTATATGTGTATAAAGCTATTCGCCATGGTCTATGGTTGGAATGAACTACAAGATGAAGCCTTTATCTTGAATGTTGAATAATAAAAAACGTATACATGAAAAACAAACTGGTACGAAATATTTAATGGTTTAGAAGAAAAAATATATGGAAGATTGTAAAAGTGTAATGTTGTGTGTGATGATAAGTAATTTTGGACAATGTTAAATGTATTGAAAAGAAACGAAGAAAAAAATATTAATAAATAAACAAGAATATATCAAAAAAACAAGTGTGGAAAAAAAATTAAGTTATACAGTGAAAATTGAGAAAGAAATTAGTCTTAATATAATATTAAAATGAACTATGCACAATATTATTTTAAAATAAATGATTCAAGGGATAAGTTGTACTTATATTCTCTTAATTGAGACCCTTGAACATTCAAAAAACTTGAGCTGGCCAAATAGCTTTTCAGATTGAAGAAGAAAAAGAAGAAGAAGAAGTATACAGTATACGGTATATGTATACGGTAAGGCCAATGCCATGGTAATAGTCGAGAATCTCAAAGATTGTGTAGAAGATTGTACCATGAAGCATTTCCTTGTGAACGGACCGTCACCAGTTTACATCAGACAGTGTGAAACTGTGAAACACTTTTAAAGTAAAAAAGGTGATTGCGGGAGAAATCGAACGAACTTGACCAGTAGGAAACGAAGAAACGCTTCTGGAAGTGGTTGCCGATAATCTTGATAGAAGCACTAAAATTTTTCCATACAAGTGGACGTTTCAAAAAGTCCAGTTTAAAAAATAATGCATGAACAACTACCATATCCCTATCATTTACATAGAGTACAAGCTTTAAATCCTCAACATCTTCCACTTAGACTATAGTCTATTGTATACAATTCTGTAGCTGGTTGATCAAAATGGCATGAAGAGAACAACTTTATTGTTGAAGTTTATTTACTGTGTTTAATAAGTAGAATTTATGAATTTTTTTGGCGAAACTTTGTATAACAAGAGCAGCTTTTTTACGTAAATTTATTTGGAGAATTGTATTACAAGATCAAGAATTTAATAAAACCCCACAAAAAAGTAGTCCCTGTTTTGAAAGCCTATGGTCATCATTTATCCGATTTGACACAAGCAGATGATTTCTTGCCCAAAAATTCACGATTCTAAATGATGAGGACAAGCTTGCCTTCATTATTTTCAGCTAGTGCTGCTGAAGTGACAGCAAGCTAAAATAGTAAAGACAAACCAAACAAATTTGAGAAAAGTAAAATGACGACAAGCTTAAATGATGACGGCAAGATAAAATAGTTAAAAAGTTTAAATTATAAAGGCAAGCTAATGCTATGAAAACAAAGCAATAATCCAAATTTATAAGAACGAGCTAAAACTGGGGATAAGCTAAAATAATGACAATTAGCTAAAATTAAAATAAACCAAAATAATTAAGATAAGCTAAAACGATGATTAGAAGCAAAAATTATAATCAAGCTAAAATGATGACAGGATAAAATAGGGAGGACAAGCTTATAAGCTTTAGAAATTATGAAGACAAGCTAAAAGGGATAAGAACAAGTTAAAATAATAGGCTTAAATGAAAACCTTCTAAAATAATGAAAACAAGGTAAAATTACAAAAAAAATAACATTCAGTGTGGGTGAGATGTCCCCCAAGTGAAAATGATTATTTTTTATTTTTTGTTGTTTCACTGTTAGTCTAGAATGGGTTTTTTGGGAAGCCACCAGGTCTAGTAATAACATAATATAAGTGGTTCTGCACTAAAGCAAGAATTTTAAGAAATCATACATTTTGAATATTAGAGCTTCACAGAAGATAACTTCACGGAGGTTAGGATTTCGTATGTTTTTTTTAAACATCCCTTTGTATATTTGAAGTTATTGTATCTTTTAACACCTTAATATTTATAAAAAAAATCTACTTACTGAGATAATACACTTTACGGTGGATAGGTTTTTAAATAGCAAATTAATGAACTTTAACTTTTGAATTATAAAACAGCAACACTCTCATCTGCATTCTAACTGACCTTCAGGAATCACATGCATCTATAATGTCGTAAACAGAGGTTTTTGCTTATTAAAAATGATTATTTCCCTCATTATAATATGAACCAATCAAAAGCCTTGAATTTTCGAATAAATTTCGTTTAAATAAGTGATTAAATCACTAGTACTATTTAACAGCGATTAAATTTTAGCCTACATATTGGATTTTTGTTTACGATATTATGGTGTTATTTACAAGTTACAAAAATAAGTTATCTAGTTTACGAAATATCAATTATTACTTATTACATACCTTAAATTAATGGAATTTTCTTAAAAAAAATATTTATAAATTTTGACACATACGTCAGATTTTATGAATTGTCAAATAGTTTCCTTTAATTCGAGAAATAATCTAGACGTATATCACTCAACCTATAAATTTAATCTGTCAAACTATGCTCAGTAAGTTTTTTATTTGATTTTTCTTTTTGGAAAATAGTTTCATGCTACGCGGTCTCGTGATTTTATTAAATTATTTTGCATTCAACATTTTCCAACAAAAACCAAACAAAAAACTACTGAGCCTAGTTTAACCGATTAAATTCATAGTTCTCGTGATATAATATATGATTAAAGCGCCATCCGTTGCATAAAATTTAAAGTAAAAACAGATTCACGGAGGATATAATCAATTTTTGTAACACCTAAACTATTTCTTTTAATTTTTAATAATATTTTATATTTGATTCGATTGCTTTGGATGTGTTTAATTTACTTAGTGAACTGATATTTTTAGTATGCTTTTACTACCTTAGATATTTGAAAACATATAGGTTAACCCAGAAAGAGTAACAGTCACGAAGGATAGGTTTTAGACTTTAAAAACATTGTAAAAAATATTTTATTGCCATTAACCTAAGTTGTAATATCTACTTAATTATGAAAGATCAAAACACAATAAAAGTTTAGGTCAAACTTATTTAGTTTTATTAAATAAGACCATCGGGGGACATTTTGTGATATTCACCCACGTATTATTAAAAGAAAATAAAAAAAAATTCAAATAGGTAATGATTTATATCATTTTAAATAGGTCATAGTGTAAAAAAATAAAAATCCATCTAAAACATTAAAATAGAAAGTTTTGATTTGTCATGTTTAACTCTCTAAGCATCTTTAAAATGCAACTTTAAAAATAAACTTTATTCCAACAATTAAAGGTTTTTTAGCTGAATTTAGATTTTGTGTACTTGAAACTCCGCCCAGTGCTTATTAAAAAATGGAGCCGGAGATCAACGCCAAATTTATATTGTACAATTGTGAGAAGGCAAAAGAAAATGCCCCGCTCGCCCCTCATGGTCCGTCTATACCTCTTAAGGCGGAGGACCCGAAGAGTGAATAAAACCGGAACTTTATTGTTTTCATAAAACGCAAAGGAAGTTTCGCTTTTCCGAAGTAAATATGTTATGAAGTTTAATTTTAAACTTTTAATTATTCATCGGCACGCCGCTGCCGAATTATTTTGGCTGCTATTTCAACTTTCGAAAATAGGCATTTATTGCGAATCATAACTTAATATTTATTGAAACAATGAATTACAGAGCGGATGGCCCAATATTTCGAATTTCATCTTATTGTAACTGCTGCGTTTTTAATTAAACTTTCAACGATTTTATGCTTTAATAATCATAAACCCATTCAATATTTCATTTTACAATTATGGCGAACTGTTTGCATTTTATACTGTTTTTTAGAGTCCGGAAATTTGATAGAAAGATTTTTAATAAGCCATAATGAGTGTAATGAAAAATTTATTTAAAATATCCTTTTTTATTTTGGTATAAGGTACTATTACTTATAAAATACTTTACGACGACAACTAAAATTTAAACTTTTGACAAATGTCCTGCTTAAAAGCGCTTGCCAATTACTTACGACGTTTTTAAATAAATTCTTCCATTTCTAACAATTTTAGGTTAAATATTGATTGATTGTTTAATTATTCTGGTTAATTGACTTAAAGCCTTAAATCTTAAAACATATTCACCGAACTTATTTTTCAAATCACCCAAATCATCTGCTTCCATTTCATCCAAATATATTGCAAACTTATTGAATATGATGACTTCGATAGCATTGCGTGAATTTAAGAATTGTCAACAATACATTTAAAGCATGAACTGCACCTACATCTTTTTTTAAATAAATAGGTAGCTTATTTACAAAAGAGAGGAAGGCAGAAGTCTTACTCGACAAATTTTGTTCAATTGCACAGCTAAATCGCGCACGTTATTTGTGTTTTACGTTGCAAGGAAAAAAGTAAAAAAGTGGTTTAGTACACTGAAAAAAATAAGCTGTTGAAACAACAAAAATATTAATTCAACTCTTTATGCACTTTAAATACAAGCAATGGTTTTTGCACGTTTTAAAAATGTCAAATTGTATTGTTTAATTGAACAAGAAATAACAGTCAAATTAACAAAATGAGAATATTTGTTCTAATCTGCTAATTTGGTTAATTTAACATTCTTAGGGTGTAAAGGTAAATTTCTTGAAATGTCCAGGTAACCTTTTTAGCATATTCACTTAACCCCTAATTTGCGCTAATGTTCCAAAACGGTTGGGTTAACATTCTGAAAATGTAAAAGTAAAATTCTATATAAAGAGAAAGAATTGAACCCTCACCTCGCCAGAGTTTTTGTTTTGAGTGCGTTCCACCTACTATAAATACCAACAGACAGCGTTTTCGACCTATATTGGGGGTCATCTATGCTTATCAGTGTCGGGCAATTTGGTGTAGTGGAAGTTCAACTGTAAAACACACCCAAAACAAACGGCTACCTGAGCTTATATACCTTATATCGTAAGCCAACTGTGGCGAGATGTAAAAACACGTGATCAACACCGTCTAATGACGTGGCGTGGGTGTTCGAAGCGCCCTTCACGGCAATTTTATGAATGCAAATTTTAAAGTAACATTTACAATTTGTTAAATGAACAAATTTAATGTTTTGGATTAAAGAGAAACTAAACGTTAATTTAATAGTTTTTTAGGTAATCCTAAAAATTTCAGTATATGATTCAACCAATTCCAGCTATCAAATCAAAATAGGATAAACATTTTAATTCAAAAAATTAGTTTATGTTAAATCAATATTTTAACTGTCAATTGAACAAATAAACTTTGACAAACTCTGACTATTGCTTTGACACCAAAATATAGATTAATCCAATAGGTTTTTTGATGAAACACCATTTTCAAAAATGACATTCAGGTAAACGCATAGATGACCGAAGATAAACGTTAACTCAACTACAATATTTTTTTCGGTGTACTCAATTTCGTTTGATTATTCTTTATATCATTGATTAAGAAACTTAACGCTTAAATGCTTATATAGTTACGTTAGTGTGTGTATTTTATCTAAGGGATCATGGTGAATTATTGTGTTTTTAATTGTAAATAAAATTCAAGAAATAAATCGTTGCATTTTCATGCTTTGGTGCAGAATTAAGTAATGATAACATTACCTAATATAATTTATATTTAAGTTTGGACATTTTTAATAAATTGGTAAAAAATAATTTTTGCACAAACACAACCTTAAAATCAACAATTTTTCTCTAAAAACGCCTAAAACTGCATTTTAAACAACAAAATTTACCTACGAATTCATGGCAACATATAATATTATATACAGGGTGTTATGTAATTAATGTTATATATTAAAATGGGTTGTTCCTTAGGGCCCATAAAGAAGCACCTGAAACTTTTTTTTTCTAAATTCCAAAGTCTAAAAATAATTTATAATAACCTTTATCCTACCAAAAAGTACGCCACTGATCGACTAGGAACTTTAGGTTAATCTGGTGGATTTATTATGTTATGGTTATGCTAACAGTGTTTCCAAAATCTCTCAAAAAAGTTGACAAACATTGTTTAAATTTAGCTTAATTACAAAAATGACAAAATTAACAATGCAAATTGTCAATTTGGCGTTTTTATTAATTGTTGGTTATTTCATTTTTGTATTGAAGGTAAATTCAAACAAAATCTGCCAACTTTAATGACAGAATCTAGTGCATTTCTTTTAAATTTTAGGTTATGTTTTAAAATTGTAAATATCTTAACTAAGGGAAGTGCTTTTGGATTTATTTACACAAATTAAATGTTTAAAGTTTAACCTGTGAACTGGTCCCAATTTCATCTGAGTAAACAGAGAAAAAAACTGATGAAAAAATTAATTTTGTGGTTATGGATTTCAAATTTCAAAGGTGCTAAATTTTCTAATCATTGCTTAAGCTAATAGCTGGATCAGTAAATAAATACAGAAGGGTATTAGAGCTTTAAGGGCATAAAACTTTTGTATTTATTGAGTTTTTATTTATTTTTTGCAAGAAAAATTTTTAGTAACAATTTTTTACATCTGGCAACGCATAGCTACTTTGTTGGTTGGTATCTATGTACTATGTACTCACAAAATACAAGTGTGCAGAGATAAACAAGTGTGTAACCAGTGGCGTATCACAAAAAATATAAAAAACTTCTAATGCATATTTTTTCTTTATTTTTGGAAAAATGTTTTTTTAAATATTTTTCCTTTATTCCTTATGTTAAAAGGTATTCAATATTTTAATATATAACATTAATTACATAACACCCTGTATAATACATAATATTATGATATTTTACCGTTGACTGGAGACTTTAAAGAATTCTTAATCAACGCTTTTAATAATGCTAAATGCTGTTTAAATTTAGACGACTTATTTGTTTGACGATTTTTACTGAATTGAAATTTTACACTTTTCACGTTAATCATTACTAAAATGTGTATTTATTGTTTCTAATAGATACAATTTATATTTACAGAGACTTTATGAAATTTATTTCTTCATTCGGATTAACACTGTTTATTGGAAAACCGATAAAAACTTAACGCAGGATTTCCTCTCGTAATACACCCAACAACACAACAAATCGTGCCACGGTTTTGTTTCCGATATTTTTTAACATTTTCCGGCTTTATTCTTAAAAACACTCACACGCGTTTGACAGCTGATTATCAAAAGTTATACTTCTTTAGCGTATACTCTCCTAATAAGAGACCCATTATTAACTTGTATTCTCTTTTTCAGGGTGGCTTAAAGGCTGCAATTTTGGCTGACGTAATGCAAGGATTAACAATGATAGCCGTCAGTATGGCGATTATTTTCCAAGGATTATTCGAAGTGGGCAGCGTTAATGAAGTATTCAGAAGAAATATTGACGGTGGCAGATTGGATTTTTTTAAGTAAGCATCCGAGCACGTTTTTTTAATAACAATTTTACGCGTTTCCTGATTTATCCGTTTTAAAAATGAAACGGCATCAAGTTTTAATTGTTTAAATGTTCGCGTTTAAAAGTCCTGGAAAGTGCCGTCAAGGATTTAATAAACTTTTACTGCAAGAAAAGTGGAGAGAACCGGTTTTTAATGAAGACGACGCGTTTTAATAACGTTATTGCACCCGATGCCCAGATATTTTTGACAATAAGTCACAGCCAGGGGCGCCACAATCACAACTTTAAAAATCAAATTTAATATTTTTAAATAGATTTTAATAAATTTATAACTTTAAAGTTGTTACAGTCATGCACTAAAAACTAGTAACAGCACATTTCAAATTAATTTTTTTTTCTATGACGAACATCTTTTGTATTCGAGAAAAAATGTGCTACACATTTCTTAGACATTATCCGGATAGCCGTGGTGTGTAAGCACAGTCAAAACACGCTGCCCAGCGCCTAATATAGGCAACAAGAACAGCAACAGCGGTGAGAGATATTCAGCAACCTTCTATCATCTGTCTTTATTTGTAAAGGTTGCTGTTCTGTAACATTGTTAGGGTAAACCACATAATTATTGGACACTTAAGGAATATTATTTATTTAAAATTTATATATGCCGTTTTTTTAAAGATTTTAGTTTTTTTCTTATAAATATATAAAAAGGATGTTTGTTTGTTTAAACTTTATATACGTTTCCTTAAAAATAGAAATGTTTAAATTTTTAATATTAGTTTTATAAAAACATGCAAAAAAGTATAGTAATTGGACACATGGACCATAGTTATTGGACATACAATTTTTATATAAACATAACAACTTTACATCAAATAACATAAATTGTTAAATATTTTTTAAAGATAAATTGCTGTTTTAGGTAATTTTTTTATTTCGTTTTTTTAAATATAATATAATTTATATATTTCTTTCTCGGATTCCTCATCCCTTTTCTGGATTCTAAAGATAACTACTAATTCCTTAATCTGACTACTGAAATATTTTGTTGCAAATATTAAGTGTGGTATCTCTAGTTTGTAAAGAATTTATAATGTTTAGGCCGGAACAGGATAATTTATATATATCTAATATTTTTTCGGGTGGTATGTTAAAAGTATTTTTCTATCATGCACTGTATTTAAATCATGTTATTCTGCAAGATGTCCTGTGACGAAGAAATCACTATATTACTTACTCTCTAAAAATAAATAAGTCAAAAATGTCTTATCGAAAAAGCAGCCACTAATAATTCTCGTCAACAGCAATTTGTATCCAGGACATTTAGCAGTCAATTCCTATGACATATTATTCGCTGAATCCGAAAATGTAGTCAAGAAGTATAAAAGTAGAATTTTTTTTTTTAAATATAATCAATTTTACATATAATATGGAATTGACTATATCTTAAAAACTTATTAACTTTTATATTTTTTGACGGTCTTTTCGGATTCAGGGGACAATTTTACATAATAATTGGCTGGTAAATGTCCGAGACCAAAATAGAGTATGATATTGGACATATGTCCAATAATGGAAATTTACATTTTTTACCAACCAGTAATTGAACACTTGCCATTTTACTGTTTGTTTTCAGAATTAAAATTAAAACGCATTAAAGTGACAATGTTTAAACCACGAAGAACACATTTATTCCACACACTGATCTGTACACTTTTTAGAAATATTTTTTACTGTAATTTAAACACAGCCCTGCTCTTAACAAAAAAACAAAAATCCTACCACCAAAGTAACGTGCGAACTTTTTTGTCCTATATTGGACCCAAAATAAAGTAGTTCTATATTATTTCCGACTTAGATAATTATAATTGTATACAGCGTCATCTAATGATTTACCCTACCAGATTTTAAAATAACCAATATTTGAATTCTTACATTTTATACAAAAACTCTTAATATTGCATTTTTCCCAAAGGTTTATCTTGTAGCTACTGCACTGGTAAAATTACTTCGGTTTTTATGTATTTACACAATCTGGTTGGGAAAACAGACTTTCAAGAAAGTTTTCAGTTTTGAATATAAAATTCCGCCAGCTGGCACACACAATTTTTCGATTCAAATTTTCCTTTCGAAGTATCAAGATATCGATTTTTAATTTCATTAAATTATACAAAACAGTTTCTTACACCAGGGTAATGTAATTCACGTTAGGTATGTGGAAAACCGCTTGAATTTTAATAATGTTTTATCATTTTTTCGTGGTTTATTGACAAATAATTAGTTATTATTGTCTGATATATTTTACCATTACCAGTGACAACTTTTCATCTAAGTAAACATATAAACTAGCATGTTTTCCAATTAAAATAATTCATTAATAAATAAAATAATTCCAATTAGGCATCGGTTATATGTAAATTAAAATTTATGCGATCACCCATCGAAAATTAAACGCCCCTTTTGATAAACGAGCTAAACAGACATGTTCTATCATGTTTTAAAACAATTGCTTGACATAATCCTATTTGTTTTTGCATTAAATACATGTTTTAATGAATATTCAATTAATTTTATGCATTTTCATAATTAATTATTCTGATTACACATAACCATATTGGAAATACTTTGTCATTAAATAAAATTGTTTAATTTTTTTAGCTTTAACATGGATCCTACCATTCGTGTTACTACAACATCAGCTTTGATTGGACAATTATTTATGTCACTTTCCATTTTTGGATGTCAGCAGAATTTTGTGCAAAGATATTGCAGCATGGACTCGCAAAAGAAAGTCACAAAGTACGTATTTGTTAAATTAATCTTTTATCTCCATCTTCCATACTTCCTATTTTATCTTCCACCATCTTGTATCTACCATATTCCAACATCATTCTTCTATCCCCCATGTTTCATCTTCAACCTTTTATCTCTTCTTCACATTTTTTACCTTTCATCTTTTATACTTTTATCTTTGATTTTGTTTTAATTCAATTCAATCATTCCAATTTAATAATGTTGAATCTTTTTTTAAGGACTTTAATGTACAATATCCCAGTGATAACAGTGCTGTTTAGTTTATCATGGGTGGTGGGCATGGTTGTCTACGCCACCTACTACAGTTGCGATCCAAAAACATCAGGATACATTGAAAAGTACGATGAAATTTTACCATTTTTCGTTGAAGACAGATTCAGTTATTTCCCTGGAATTCTCGGACTTTTTATGGCCAGTTTATTCAACGGTGCCTTGAGGTAATATTTAAAAAATACTTAGTGAACAAATTCACAAAAATATTTAATTTTTAGCTTGAACGTATCAAATCTGAACTCTCTGGCCACAGTAACATTCGAGGATTTCGTCCGCCCAATTCCTTGCTTCAAAGGAATGAAAGATAGTCATCAATTATTCTCCATAAAGATTATTAGTGTGGTTTATGGGTTGGTAATCATGGGTATCAGTTTTGGTGTAGGATTGTTGGATGGTGTCATTGAATCTTCCATGTTGGTAACATCTGCTACTTCCGGTCCTCTACTTGGTGTCTTCCTCATGGCACTTTTGATACCTTGTGCTAACTGGAAGGTAAGATTTTTGCATAGTGTTAAATCTGGTTCTGTAAAGGTCACGTTTTACGCTTGATTTATCAAATAATATGTAAAGATTCCTTCACCCTTTCTTATCTAAAAAGTTACACTTACTTTCCATTCAAATTCTGTGCATTAGACTAACATATTTACCTATATCTTTTCTCCCCCATTTTTCCGACGTTCTCTTTTACAATGACCCTATTTAAATGACAATAAACTACTTACGGTGTTTTTCTGAATACTCAGCACCACGTGACGAAAATTGTAATTTTATAGTTCTTTTAATCCGCAGTTGTGTGGTTTATTAAAATAAAATAGATGTAAATTTGATACAAATTAGCGAAATTTGTGGCATAGTCTAAAGTTGTAATTAGACGCCGTAAAGTGCGAATCGAAAATTTTGCCATATATATTCATTGGACGTCTCGAGTTGGGGAAAGTACGTTTCTGGAATAATTTATAAATTTATAAATAATGAAGCCGACCCCTACTCTGGCGGGCCAACGATATGAAGCATTACTCTACGTGAGATAATGTGTTAGGCGACAATATAAAAAAATAATCAAGATCTTCAAGCACTTGTCTCGGTAAATATATTGTTTTCTGTTCCTGACAAAGTTGATAAACTTACACAGAGAGAAATAGAAATAGTAAATTTTAGATAGTAAAAAAATATAGTAAAATTTACTTCAACAAATATTTAGGGTAACAATATTATATATTCGTCAATACAATATTAGGATTGTAATACAAAATACTATTTTTTAATATACAATTTAAGTAAGGATTACAACACCAATATTACTAAATCATGAATGTATAATATATATTTTAATTTTTAATATATTCGTATAGTAAATTGATTTTACTATCTACAAATAGTAATATTTACTATATGATTTAATCAAATGTAAGGTGTACATCTAATATTATAATATATTACACATTAATATAAAATATAGTAAAAATAAAGATACTTTTACGTTTAAAGTAAATAAACAATATATTTAAATATAATATACAATATAGTAATTCATGACATTTTAAACATTCAATTTTCTTAGATTCTTTAATAAACTTTCTTGACCAATTACTGGTAATACTTATAAGAAAGAATTGAACCTACTTGGTTGCATAGTATGTACCGATTGCGGCAAAGGCCACGTCGCGACGCGTCGTTAGACAGTGTGGATCACGTGATGTTCTTACATCTCGCCTCTGTTGGCTTACCTTATATAAGCTCAGGTATTTCTTTGTTTTGGGTGTGTTCCGCTACTACAAGTTGCTCGACAGTGTCGTGTCGACACTGATGATACGCAATATAGGTCAAAACACCTGCCTGTCGGTATTTGAAGTTGATGGAACGCACTCAAAACAAAAACCTTCGTCGAGGTGTAGGTTCAATTCTTTCTCATAACTTTTTTGTATATTAAAAACTACAATAAATATGTTTTTAATTGTTAACATATAAAAATATTCGATTTTAAAATATTTTATATTTAAAATGGCAACATAATATTTTAAAATTTACTATACTTATTAGTGATGGAAAAAATCTATTATAATAAAACAATATTGGTTGATAATAAAAATATTTTACCTTAAAGTTTAACATACATGGATATTTAAAAATTACTAAATACCTATGCATAGTATCTGGCAATATACAAGATATTTGTCCCTAATAGTAATATAAATTATAGTAAAGGGTATTATAATTATGGAATCAGCATTATACTTTTCTCTCCGTGTATTACGCAAAAAAATAATGTATGCCTCGAATTTACAGCCGTTTAGAATTTATACCCGGTAAATCATTTTTATTCAACACCTAATCATTAACAACCTCGTCAATTATTCGTTGGCAAGTTTTGATTTTGGTTTCAAATCTCCATATAAATTAGGTACGTTTAATGATTAATACGTAAAGTTCTAAAAGGTTCTTAAAATTTCATGCGTTGGTAAATCGAAACTTTGTCATTGATAATCCAGTAGTTGCAACATAGTGTTAGTATGTTAGAAGCCGCGGGATAGGCAATTAATTTCGCTCGGAATCCTTTAATCCCTAAACCGGACTTCCTAGCGTTATTTAACTACCATTTTCAGAATATAACTCACTACTTAAAGCTTAAAATCTTACATGTGGATTATATAATCGTGCATTATGCCGCAGCCGAGCGCCAGTCGACCGACATTCATATTCCTGAGAGAATCAATCGCCGAAATCAACAGATTAACCAATTGACATGTCCTGCTGGATATAACTTATATCACTCCACTCTCAGTAGGTACTAAGTATCCATTAAGAGTGCAGTAATATTACTTGGTTACTAAACAATGGTTGGTCTAACATTTTTTCATCCTGATAAAGAATATGTCCACACCCATCTATCTATATGTATATAAAAAATAATATATAATAACGTAGAGACTATCTACTAGATAGCCACCCACCAAAATTTCCTTCCTCTAAAACATGTCTAATAGATATATTGAAGAAGATATACGATGCCGAAAGATCTCTATACATCTTACGAGGTGTGTTCAGAAAATAACGGGAATTGTTAAATTTCGCGGGTTCGGAGGTTCCGGTTGTCATAAAATTTTCTTTATTATGTTGGTATACATGCCCCCGAAGTATGATACAAACTTAAGCTGTTTTCATTGTTTACTTTGTCTGTGGCAGCCGCTAAGGTTAGACGTGTTTTATGAGCTCGGCGATTTTTCGTTCGTTAAAAGAAATGGATCAAAGAATTTAAATCCAATTTTGCTTAAAAAATGAAATAAATTCTGTGAAATGTTAACAAAGGCCTATAGTGAGTCTGCTATAAGTAAAACAAGAGTTTACAAGTGGTATAAGAGTTTCCAAGATGATCGTGAAGACATTGAAGATGACGAACGCCCCGAACGCACAATCACATTAACAACCGATAAAAACATGAAAAAAGTGGAAGAAATGGTTGTAAACTATCAGAGAAGTCGCTGATGATGTTGGTATATCGATTGGCTCATCCCATGAAATTTTTTCGAATGTTTTGGGTATGAAACGCGTGGCAGAAAAATTTGTTCTAAAATTGTTAAATTTTGAACAACATTTTTGGCCAAAAATAATTCCCCAGCATCCATATTCGCCAGACATGCCTTTGTCTGACTTTTTCCTATTTCCAAAAATAAAGAGAACCTGAAAGGGCCGTCGTTTTGCAAGCATAGATGACATTAAAAGCGCATCGCTGAAAGAACTAAAGGCTATCCCAAAGATCGAGTTTTAGTTTAGAAGTGTTTCGAGTATTGGAAGAAGAGCTGGCACATGTGCATAATATCCAATGGGGACTATTTTGAAGGCGACAACATTAATGTAGACGAATAAATAAATATTTGTTTCAAAAAACGAAAATTTCCGATATTTTATGAACACACATCGTATATATATATATATATATATACAGTGTGTCCGTAAAGTCCCGGAACAAGTGATTATTTTGAAAAGGGTATTTTTTTTAAAAAAACGCTGAAACACGTCAACTTTGGTATTTTTCTAGCAATATTTTAGCATATGTAGTTGTTCCAAAATCTGCCGCGTAGCGGCGCCCCAATCGAAGTAAGGTTTTTTTAAATTACAACCCTTAATTTTTGTTGCATTTTTGGATAGCTACCGTCGTCCTGAGTACATTGATATGCTACATGTGGAGGGTTACATAAGAAAATTTTTGAGAAAAGTAGGTTTTTGCCGCTGATTAAGATTTTGGTTTTGACGAACTTATTCGGTGTTACGGGGCACTATGCATTGCTAGTAAGGGATTATTTAAATCAGGTCTTTCCCAATCGCTGGATAGGTCAAAGGGGTCAAATTGAGTGGCCAGCGCGATCGCCCGATTTGAACCCTTTAGACTTCTTTTTATGGGGACCTCTTAAAAACCGCGTCTATGTAAACAGGCCTTAAAATTTGGACGACCTAAGACACCGCATTCAAGCCGAGATCCAGATGATCACTCCAGCGGTACTGGCAAACGTACAACGCTCGTTTGTAGACAGGCTGTTCCATTTCCAAATAGTTTACGGTGGACACTTTGAGCAACTGCTCTGATTGGCTTTCCAAAAAACATTAAGCAACGCATAGATTGTGTAAGTTTGACAAAATACCAAAATCTCATTCGGCAGCAAAAATCTGATTTTCTCAAAAATTTTCTTATGTAACCCCCAGATGTGGCACATCAATGTAATCAGGACAACGGTAGCTATCCAAAAAAGCAACAAAAATAAAGGGTTGCAATTTAAAAAAAACTGACTTTGATTGTGGCGCCGCCACGCGGCAGAATTTGGAACAACTACATATGCTAAAATATTGCTAGAAAAATATCAAAGTTGGCGTGTTTCAGCGTTTTTTAAAAAAAATTACCGTTTTCAAAATAATCACTTGTTCCGGGACTTTACGTACACACTGTATATATATATATATATATATATATATATATATAAACATAAACAATAATAAATTATTATAGCCATCTTTCTTTTCCAAACCTTTAAATAATATTGTCAGTCGCGGTAATTAGTTAAATATAAGATCTTTTTTGTAATAAGTAGCTTTATAAGTTATGTGCTGTAAAAGTATAATTAAAATATCATGTCATCATCGTTTAGTATTGCCGTAAGCGCTTTTTGCTTTTTCGGATTAAAATGTTCGCTTTGTTTTAAATTTTTAATTACTTATTTTATAGAAGCGTGTGACAGTAAAGTCGTCTCTAATTATTTTCCGACTAATAAACTCGCCAGAGCGGACAGTTAAATTCATAATGGATGAATAAAAACCCAGTGAGCAACAATTTAGCACGGGCTAAAACCTCGAGCTCTCCAATGGGTTTAGTCTTTTTGGAGTTTATCTTATAATTTACAGACAGCCGTTGGCTTTTATGACGGCAGGTAGAGGGAACATGAAAGGGACTTTACTATTTCCTACTTGTATACGTGGTTGCAGGGCCGGATTGGTAAAGGGCCACAAAATATCTCCAATAAAGATGTTATAATGTTATTTCTAGTATTATTTAGATTTTAAGATCAACAGATTAGCCAATTAAAGTGCCCCATTGTCCAGAAGCTTGGGGGCCAGCGGGGCTGTAGACGCGGCCTCGTTTAATTGATGCGTAAACGCTTCCAAATGAAATATTAATTCGTGTTGCACCGCATTCAATATCCAGTGCCCGTCCCTGCAGGACAATGCAGGAACGCCGACGGCTCGTGATTGATAAATTCCGAAATAGATTGATTACAGGATGTAACGTTTAAATAATTTCGGCGGAGAGCACTTGCCAACCCATCGATCGATTTCCAGATATTTGTATCCAGTTTCCCTTTATGCAATACACAGTACCGTATTAAGCATAATACACTGTTTAAAATATCTGTGGTGTAAAGAGTAATCTTAAAATGGTGTCAAAATCCAACACCAAGTGGTGTTAATATAACCATGAATTATGGTTGAAAATGTTATATACAGCAAACACCAAAACGGTGTTTATCTAAAAATATTTGAGAAGTGCACCTACACAGAAAAAAAGGAATAGTTCATTTAACTATATTAATTTAGTTGACCCATAAGTATTTATTTTTGGATTTTTATCAACTGTGGGAAGGTTAATATAAACAAAGATTAGTCTGACGGTATTAAACCAGATAGTTATTTTATTTTTTTTAAATTGGTTAAATTAACCTAGAAAACTTTAGTGAAACCAACACGCTGTATGGTTCACTTTACTAAATATGTTGTTTGTAAAATTAGAGTTACTTCAACCTAAAGCACTCTGTTAAAACGATTAATACAATTTGCCGTGCATTCCCGGTTGCATAGTGTGTACCGATCGCGGCAAAGGCGGTGTGGATCACGTGATGTTCTTAAATCTCGCCTCTGTTGACTAACATGAAGAGTATATAAGCTCAGGTAGTCCTTTGCTTTGGTGTGACACTACAAGTTGTTCGATACTAAAGAGAACTTAAATATGTGGAAACAGCTGTCAATACTTGAAGTATTTTAAGTTAGTGGAACGCACTAAAAACATTATCTCTAGCGAGTTGAAGGTTCCATTTTTTGGAATAATACCACTGGTAATATACTAGTAATGCGTCAAGGAACTTCCTGTTTCCTTTTTTTTCCTTTTTTCTGTGTAGTATGATTTAATTTGACCACAAACACACTGAAAAGGAGTTCAATTTACACCAGGTAAAATTTATTTTAATACTGTGTGAAAGTTAAATTAACACTATTTTAGTATTTGAATTTACACCGGACCAACGAACCATATTTAACACCATTTTGGTTTGTATCGATATAGACCATGTATCGTATTAATTTGGTGTTAAAATGGTCATGAAATTTTGAACAGTGTATGACGCAGTTATAGTGCAATTTAGTCAATCACTTAGTAACCCAATAAACATTTTTGTTATTATAGTGTTTGCCATAAATGTTTTATTACCCAAATTATAAAACCTAAATTTCTTAATTTCGTTACATAAATATTAAGATCACTCTTATATACCTTATATACCCTCAAAGAGCTTATTTAGGGAGTTTATAACTAGAGATAACAGGAATATTATGGAAACCACTATATAACTTCCTAAAGAACTGCTATCGGCTTTTTTCCTTCTTTTAATTCTTATTAATTAACTTGTTTAAACCACGTTAATATTTTGGGAAACCAAGTATGGCGAAAATATACTGCCCGTCAAAATTAACGCATAAAAAGTAAAAAACTCTCTAATCTAAAACGCCTTTAAATACTAATCTTTACGAAATTTTGTATAAAAATACTTCAACTTATATCTCAGTTTACGTGTTCGAGGGTTTTTCAAAAAAATATTTTTAAATCCCTTTAATTAAATAATTAAAAAACGTTCTAAACATAACTTTAAGAGAATGTTTTTTAGTAAATTAAAAATATGGTGTTAAAACCGTATTTTTGTTGGTATACCCTAAAAATTTTGTACAAATCAAACGAACAGTAACAAAGATACCATTTTTCAGCAAAATAATCAAAAAGGGGTAATTTTTACCGACTTTGAAGCGCTGTATCTTTGTTAATGTTCGTTTGATTTGTACAAAATTTTTAGGGTATACTAACAAAAATACGGTCTTTAACACCATATTATTAATTTACTTAAAAAAATCAGTAACCTTGTATGACCATTATAAAACTAGTAAACTAAATGGCGATTTTATAAAACCTTGTTTACTCTTATACACTTTGACAACCTTTAAATAACCTTAATATAACTTATTGTTACCATATGCAGTATAAATTGTTTATTTGGAATGATTTACATGAAAATTGTAAACAATTAAATTCAGTAAACATCATAAAACAAATAATTCGTCTAAATGCAAACAGCATTATAAGTTAATTAAGATTGAGAGAAGTATTTACTCAACGGTAAAAGACCAAAAACGGGTATTATATTATGTATTATATATTATATAATGTTGCTATAAATTCTTGGATATATTTTGCCTTTTACTATTTTAAAAAACAGTTGTCGGCGTTTTTAGGGCACTCAGATATAAAAATGTTTAATTTTAAGGTTATGTTTGCATAACTATTATATTGTGTAAGATTTATTAAGAATGTCCAAACTTAAATATAAGTTACATATATTAGGTAAAGTTATCATTAGTTAATTCTGCACCAGCAAATATACGTACCGAATTGGATCCTTTGGCAAAACATGAAAATGCAACTTTCGATTAGTTTTTAAATAACATTTACAATTACAAACACAATAATTCACTATGATCACTTAGATAAAATACATACACAAACGTAATGTAAGCATATAAAGGGCACCTAATAAATCGAGTTTTTCAGTTTTTAGTAAAAACTCAAAAACTTTTTACTCGCAACGCGCAGTTAGGCTGCGCAATTGCAACTTTGCGAATAAAATTTGTCGAGTAAGATTACTTTGTTTTTTCTTCTGTAAAAAAACTACTCATTTATTGAAAAATATTGTTTAGTTCGTATGCTTTAAATTTGTTTTTGACAAACCTTGTAGTCACCACCAGATGGCGCCCGCGTTGCGAAAACCCGATGCTTCTTTGGCGAATATTATGGGCTACCTAAAACCTAAAATATAATAAAAATGTGGAACATAAATTAACAATAGTAAAAACTATAATTTTTACTATAGAATAATAATAATTAATTAATTAATTAATTATAATTAATCGCAATAAAAATCGAATTATCTAAACAATGACAAAAAATGAAAGTTATTTACGTATTAAAAACTAAAACAATAAATATGTTATTGATTAAAACACAATCTATGCATTTAGCAGCAATAAAAAATTCGCTCCATAAAAATATGTCAGCTGTCGTTTGCGCTTTAAACTGTAATTTAGTATCTTAAACGAGCAATTCCGATTGCCGATAAAAACACCGTTAACAAATTGACAATACAAATTACGCTCTACCAAATTTATCATGTTTTATTTTTTATTTTCAGGGCGCTTCAGCAGGCGTAATTACAGGACACATTGTGACGCTGTGGATCACGTTTGGAGGTCTGACCATCACTAAACCGCCCGCTAAAATGTTGGAATTAAATGTGACAGGGTGCAGCAACTCTTCATTCAACGATCATATTTTAAAACCTGAACATCAGGAGTTCTTCATTGTGCCCACGACAACAATGGCACCCATGCACAATTTTACTGACGTCTTAACCAAAGACGCTCCACTGTAAGTATAAATTTAAAACTATATTCAAACCTATTCTAGAACAATATATAAATAGAAAAAGTTAGTTTATTTTAAATTTTTTTTAAGTGTTATCAACTTGACAATCTGTCTTTTATAATATACAGTGTGTCCACGGATGGACTTAAGTATACTTGTAAAAATATTTATCTCAACGCGGTCTATAATTTAAACTTTATTGTTGTCAACATTCGATAAAGAAATACCTTGTTATGGCCTAGGCCGATAAAAAAGGCAAGTAATTAGTTCGATTTTTTCTCGCTAGGGGTATTGTTTTGACAAATTAATCCTTTTCTAAGAAATTAACGTACTAAACTGGTTTAATTTATTTATAATAAGCACTAATTTGTTTGTTTTACTGTTAATGTTTAATATTTTTCATTAAATTATTGTTAAATTAAATATGAATAATAAAACAAAAAGTGAGGTTAGGCAACCAAGAAAACGCACGATTCTTTTTCTACGATTTAAATTATCTTAAATTAGGTATTAATTTGCTTTCAGTTAAATTAAATGTTAAACACAACTTAAACATTCCAAACTATCTATTTTTTAAATAAAAATCCAAACAAATTGAAATTAGATACCTACCTATTTATTAAACAATTAATTGAATTCAATGTAATAGCAAAAATCCATTTCTACTTAAATCATGTAGCTAGGTATTGTCAAACTATTACTGCTTCTAAAAGCAATAATAATTATTGTACATTTAATGTAATCTTTAGCTAATAAATAAATGAGATTCTAAAAGTGAGGTTAGGCCGCTTTGATGTTGAATTAAATTGACCTATATAAAGTGCTTTGAAGATAAAATGTTGTATGCCATTCGGCCAAGAAGTGCCTTTTTATGCTTCAAACCTTGAGCTTAGCACAAAAAGCCTTACTTCTTAACCTAATGACATATAAAACTATTATTTTCAATTTTTCGAAGAAAAGTCACTCCTTATAATTTATTCTGCTTGTTATATAAATACCATTGATGATGAGAAACTTATATTTTGTTATACAGGGTGCGCAAAAAAATACAATTGTAGATTTTGCAAAATTAAAAATTGTTAAATATATTTTTTAAGGTCTAATATGAAGAGCTTGTAAGGAGAAACCAAAAAGCCATATAAAGTTTTGTCCTGTGAGTTGTTGTCACTAAGATATTTGTTAACTTGCAAACTTTTTGAAATCACAATTTAAATATGCACAAATAATATGACATTTCTCTACCAAACATGAACTGACTAAGTCAAAGCTATCTAAATTTTAAATTATAAATAAAACTAACAATATCGCTTCTTAACTGCATTAAAAAAATTATTATATCTTTTACATGGATAAAAATAACAAAACAAGACTAACTAGACTGAAAAGATGAAAGTGGGAACTACATTTCCTGAAAGTTTCAGATTTGTATTTTTTCCTCAACATAATGATTTCTGAGGGCAAAATTGGCTAATTTTGAAAATTATCAAGTTTCAATAATTTTTTAATAAAGAAAATGATAGTCTAGAAACTTAAAATAATAGTTACGTTTTCTATTGTATAAGTACTTGATACCTGAAAAAAAGCAACTTTCTAGATTTAGCAGAATAGGCACAGGAGCCAGACAAAAATAACAAAAATTGGCAAATTATTACAAATCTTTAGTGGTTTACCATTCTTTTATGAAATGAACTAATTAGATAATATTAATTAATATTGAAAACATACTTACTAGGCAGTAAAATAAAATTACAATCATTTCAATAATTGCCACAGAAAAAAAGTTTTAGCCTCTTGTAAGAGAGTAAGAAAATGACACGATTTCAGGTTTCTAAAGGGTGCCGATTAAAAATAAAGCAACCAAAAATTAAAACGGCAACGGTTTTTCATATATGATACCTAAAAAATCATCCTCAAATTTTTTCATTAAAATAAAAATCATGCAGCGCACTTTTAAATTCATTTTTGGTGTTTTCATTTGGATTGACTCATTAACGCTTCAAAAAAAATATTAAAAATTTTTTAATTTTGAAACTCTGTATTTTTGCTCACCCTGTACCACAAAATGGATGTTTCTCAACGCGAATCGTATTTATATAACAAGCAAAAGAAATTATGAAAAATTACTTTTCCTCAAAATATTCATTATTTATTTAAGTAAAGGAAAGTTAAACTGAAAAATTCGATTTTTCTAGCTTATGGCAATTTTTATTTTAAATTTGAAATTTTGTTCCGAAAACTACACAAAATGTATATTTTTCACGATGGGATTATTTTTTATTCGAATACAACTAAATTAAATTAAGTAAAAGTCATTTTTTTCAAATAATAAGGATATGTTTAAGTTTAACACCAATTTTTTTTATTTCCTGAAAATAATATAATATATCTGTTTTTGTCTAAAAATTATTTTTAATTAATATAAAAATACCCACACTCTAAAATATAATTGGTCAGATGAAATTAAAGAGGAAAACGGCTATAAAGTTTTTTAAAATTAAAATTCCAGTCACACCTAACAAGATTAAAACAAAAAAACTATAAAATTTGATTGACAACTTCTACTTTTACAAAATGTTACTAATCGCGCCATCTATTGCAGGAGTCCGCTAACATCGCTCTACTCGATCACCTACATGTACTACTCCTTCGTAGGCTGCTTCATCACCATCCTCATCGGCTGGACAGTGTCCTACTTTACCGGCAGCGAGAAGGACATCTACGATCAAGAGTTGATTCACCCGATCGCCCGCAAGATGGCGGACGCGTTCCCGGGCAAAAAGCGCAAATACGCGGAGAAAATAACCCGCATCGAGGATAAAACACCGAAAAATCCAACTTTACAGCCGTCTGTTAGCGCGAATACAATAAGCGACAAGAAAAACGGCACGCTGAATCCGACGTTTCAACACGATGTACCTTTGGAGGACATCAACGAGGTCTGCAGAACAAAGTTGTGATGATTATTGATCATATCAACGAAAGGACGCTATAAAGTGCCTAATAATCTGTGATCTCTAGCTATTATTAGTTTAACCCGTTTTTTATTTACCTACTTAAAAGTCGACGAAAAATTGTCTGTGTACCGTTGTTATTTATTTTATCGGGGACATTCTACTTTTCTTTGCAGAAAGGACACATTGACAGGATAGTTTTTTATTTTTACTTATGGTATAATAATACGCACACAAATTACATACATATTAGAGTGATTCATTTCCGCAAAGTTTTTGTTTTCTTCGGTTCTCAAGCAAAACATCAATCTGCATATAGAAAAAAAAAATTCTTAACAAGTTTGAGCTCTTAATATAAATTTTAAGTACTTACTATTTAAATTTAAAGTTTTACCGTTTAAAATGCATGTAAAAAATATATTTTTTTTCAAATTTCTAATGCTTACCCACCTTTGACAATATTGCAAATCGGTTTAATACACCTTATGAGGAATTTCACGCTCTTTAAAATTGCTTTTGAGTTTTTTTTTGTAACTCGCATTGGTTCACCAGTAGGAGTCGTCAAAGGACAGTTTTTGAAAAAAAAAAGGTTTTTTTTTAATTTTTTCTAACAAACCGCAAAAAGTAGGGAGAAAAAAGGGCTGAATCATAAAAAAAAGTTATCCAACCAATTTTTAATGAATTTACAGCCATTTTTATAACTGAAAACGTAAGAAATTGATAATTACCAACTCATAATGTTATTTAGATTGATTTTTTCTATTTATTATCATTATATTTCCCTACACTAAGAATTTTTTTAAAATTATTGATTTCTCACTTATAATGAATATGAAAACAACAGATAAATTCATAAAAAAACAATAAGAAAATTGTAACGTGGATTTTGCAATTTTTCAACATTTCTGTCATATAGCAAAAAAATATATATAAAGATTATTTAATTTTTTGAAGCGAAATTTGAAATATGTTACATAACCTTCTGTATATTCCGATTAAAGTTTTGTTGTTTTTTTATGAATTTATATGTTGTTTTCATATTCATTATGAGTGAGAAATCATAATAATTTTAAAAAAGTTCTTAGCGTAGGGAAATATAATGATAATAAATAGAAAAAATCAATCTAAATAACATTATGGGTTGGTATTTATCAATTTCTTACGTTTTCAGTTATAAAAATGGCAGTAAATTCATTAAATATTGGTTGGATAACTTTTTTTTTATGAATCAGCCCTTTTTTCTCACTACTTTTGTCGATTTGCTCGAAAAAATAAAAAAAACGATTTTTTCAAAAACTGTCCTTTGACGACTCCTACTGGTAAACCAATGCGAGTTACAAAAAAAAACTCAAAAGCAATTTTAAAGAGCGTGAAATTCCCCATAAGGTGTATTAAACCGATTTGCAATATTGTCAAAGGTGGGTAAGCATTAGAAATTTGAAAAAATATATATATTTTTTACATGCATTTTAAACGGTAAAACTTTAAATTTAAATAGTAAGTGCTTAAAATTAATATTAAGAGCTCAAACTTGCTGAGAATGTTTTTTTCCTATATGCAGATTAATATTTTGCTTGAGCACCGAAAAAAAACCAAAAACTTTGCGGAAATGAATCACCCTAATACATATTCTACGTTCATTTAATTTGACATGAGCTTTAAAAATTATTTGTTGAATCTGTTGATAAAAGTAGAAAAGGTTCCACTAACATAATCTTTTAGTTTTAGATATTTTCGTTGAGTTAGGAAAGCTTGAATATCGCACGTTATGTATAGTTCCTACATAGGTATAAAAAAGGTAATAAATAATGTTACTATTAAAGGGCAGTATTACAATTACACAAGAATCAATACTCAACTAAGGGGCATTTACTTTTTGGGGTTGAAATTTGAAACACAAAAATATTTTTTGAAACGTAAAATGTCCTAAAATGATAAAAAAAACTACACAAATATTAAGAGATAGTTTAAAAAAATTGCATTTTTTCGTCCCAAGGAAATAAACCCCCCCTAATCGTTAACAGACATTGACATTTGCTCAATCGTACGACGGTGCTTCAGTGTGTTTTTAAGGATTAAATCAGGTATACCTTCAGTATAGATTTTTTTAATTACTCTATTATTTTTTAGGCATGTTAAATGCATGATCAGTGCATTATTTTCATTTATATTAAATGTACTGTAAGCATAAAAATAATAATAAATATATTTTATGATGTGTTTTATTTTGTTAACTTTATGTACATACAAAATTTCCTGCTCTATTATAACCTAATTTTGTATTTTAATTGATGCACCATGTGGGTGTGCATTTGTAATATAATTATGGTGTATGAGTGGATAATAATTAAATTAATTATCTATCGAATAGATATTGTTTTCGTATTAGTTGGAACAATATTGTAAATTTTGTCATGCCTTTGTGACACTGGCACACCTGAACTCAGTAGGATACAAGGTTAAAAAGGAGGATTGGAATTTAACTAAAATATACAGTGGTAAACTATTGTCTATACATTTTTTCAATCCAATCAATCAATCACTGAACCCAAAAAATATTTCAATTTTTTTTTTAATATTCTTTCTGCTCTATTTTATTTTTGGATCATTTTCAAGAAACACCCGCTTTTAGGAAAATGAAGATGAAAATTTTTTTTTGCTTAAATTGACTTTTGGTTGGATTTTTATAAATGTTTAGTTTTGTTTACTTACATTTAAGACAGTCAGTGCACTTTTTAATTTTTTTTACGTTTTTTTCAGAAAAATGTGTTTAGCTAGCTTTATATATCTCCATTACCAATTTAAAATCCAAAATTTAATTCAATAAAAAAAGTTGTTATAAAAATAATTTGAAATAAAATGTACTTAGTTTACAAACTTTTGGCTCCAATTTTTTATTTTATTTTTTATTAAAAAATGTATGCTTTTTTTTTAATATGTATGTTGGTTAAGTTACTTTTAAAAAGAATCCATTCCGATTCTTTGTTAAAAAAACAATAACTTTAATATTTTCTTTTATTCACTGTATTAGTGAATTAAACTCTAATTTATAAACACGTATTACCTAGTGATAGTGTATAAAAATCATTTTAAGTATTTTTTTTAACAAAAACTAAAAAAAGTTACGAAATAGACATTGGTATCACAACGGACTGGGGTACACAAAGGACTTGCGTGGAATTTTTCCTTGGATGTAATCTATATCATGAGTTGTAATTACAAATAATTTTAAACTGGTTAATCATAATCTACTTTTAATAAAAGCGACCGTAAATATCCACTTTGTTGTCGAAAAATTCTATTGCGTTACCCTAAATTCCATTGCGTTACCATAAGGTAACATAGTGGACTCGGTAACGCAGTGGACAAAGTTTTGTAAAACCATATTTAAAAAATAATAATAAGACATTACAGTCATTAACTACTCCCAATGAGCTTTAGTGCCCTAAAATAAACATAAACATGAAAAATAGTATTTTTTCTTACCTTATTTTTATTATTTTTTTTGAGTAACTTAGCGGACAAACAATTATTACATTCGCGTTACCCGCACCTGTTTCAACCGATATCTTCTTCCTGATTGAATAAATAAATTCAGCTGGGTAATGTGTACGTCCGAACATCATTTGTTGATCACGGTAGTACCAAAAAATATAACCAATATATATGTTTTTTTTTAATATTCTATCGGTAACGCGACGGACCTAACGCAACGGAAAAAATGTCTGGGACATGAGTCAAATTTAAAAAAAGTAGATTAAAATTAATTATTTTATATATAAATTGTTTACTATATTAACTAAAGATGTTATGGATTGCTATAAAGCAACACAAAGTTCTGGTTATTCAATATTTAAAAAAAACATGTATGAAAGAGTTTACTAAGGGCTTGTTAGGCTTTCACTTGGTTTTTAAATCAATAAGATCCGATAATTTTTAACAAAGTTATTGGAATTCAAACTTTCGGACAGCGGAAGGCGGGTGTTTTTTGAAAACGACCCTTTTAGCATCGTTTAAGCTATAAATTTCAACTCGGAGAGAAAATTTATTGAAAAAATTTAAAGAGGAAGAGTAGTGCTTTTTTAAGGCACAAGAAGTTCTGTGGAAAATATATTTTGTAATGTAAGAATTACTTTTGAGGTGGAATTTATTGTATAGTATAGAATAAAAAACGGGTATTTAATATAATTGATCCCGGCGCATCCGCCATTTTTGTAACTTAAAAAAATTGTTACGAAATGTTCAATACTTTAGTAAGAAAGTGACATTACCGTAAAATTATGCATTGAATAGTTGACAAGGTCAATTAGCTAAGACAATGCAGCCAACCTACGTATCGTTGTATGACAGAAAATGTTATTGTTATTTACCAAATAAAAAAATCCATCTACAATCCAATACAGGGCGTGGATTTTAAAAGCATCAAATATTCATGTATTTTAAATAACAAAACATACAAAAACCAAATTTAATTTCATGGTTAATGCATTAAAATCTGGATACCTAATAAAAATGTACTTGTTTATCTGTTTTTGATTATTTTATTACATGATTTGGTAATTTAGTTTTAAAAAATTTGCATATAATCTTATTTCAATTAGCAATTTTTTTTTAGCATTTTCATTAATTAATAAAGCTTATTTACATAATTAAATTATTTAAAATATTTATTGGAGCAAATTCGCCACACCTATCCCATCTATAACATTCCAACCGCAAGGACTTTTCTCAAAAATTTCCATTTTATGGTCCAAAGTCATTTTTAATGTTTTGTCGGCTATATAAAACTAAAAATATACCTTAATATTAAAACCAACTATTATTTAGTTGTAAAAAACAACGATTAAAATTTGCTCTAGATTTAGGTAATAATTTTTTTGAAAACAGATTGTTGGGTTGGTAGCAATTAAAAACCCCGCTAATTTAAAATAATTATGATTATATGTTTTTTTAAATACATTAGTAGGGAGTCCCTACTAGGGACTGTCTTATAAATTATAATAAAGTTGAATTTTATCACCTACATGAGAACAAGAAAGTAAGTATTTCTACGACTAGGCTTTCAAAAAGACCCACAAATGGCTAGGCAGTAAAATTTATTCTTACTTTTTCTTAAAGAGAGCGCTGCAATAATATGTTAAAAATTAAAGTTAAATAATAGTTATTTATGTATTAAGGCAGTAAAGTCGTATTTTTTATTACGAATGTGGAAATATATAATATGAGTATAAATTTTATCCGAAATCACATTTAATAATACTAATAATTAATATTGATGATTTGGCGATTTTTTAATCCAATTAATAAAATTAACTTATTATTTTTATTAAACAACATTTTATGAAAGGGTCCAATCGACCTCCGCGACAGTGCTTTTTTTAAATATTATTTAGTTGCTGCTGAGGAGCAGTAGACACATCTTAAAATGTATAATGGGTTGCATAC